TTACCAAGACCCTGTTCCACGACAGATGAACAGTCCACATTCTGTATCTCTTTATTCCTAAATCTACACACAGGTGTCTCTGGTTGTCTTGACCCTTGAGGTTTTCCAACCTAAATGTAGTATGCATTTCTCATGCATGCTACATTCCTTGTCCATCTCATCCTCCTCCTGGTAACTACCATAACTGAAATTCCCCCCTTAGCACCAAGTTGTCATTCCTCAATCGATGTTCATCTCTTAATCAGATGCCCGTAATAAGCAACGAGAGACGGTTCACACAATGTTCATCTCTTAATCAGATGCCCGTATGAATTACGGCCACTAAGTAAATTCTGCAAAACAGACTTCTCTAGTTTTTTTACTTTTCTGTGATAAGCAACGAGAGACGGTTCACACAAACTTACATTTTCCTCTGTTTAAGTATTCTTAACGCTTTCTGCTTAACAGCATTTTTTGCAGGTCCTTCTCTCATCTTCTTCATCTGATCTTTATATTTCTTGAGTTCTGCATCCAATCGAGCAATTTTCTTGTCAACCGATTCAGCTCTGCTATCAACCTGTTAAAAAAAAATGATTAGCCAGAATTTGGTAATAATTATATTATTAAGTCATAGCAGAAGTACAAATTTTTTAACAGTAAATACGTCAAGCAATGATTCGATGAATTTCTCAGCTGCTTTATAATAGTTACTCATTCACACATGTCTACTATAAACGTAGCATTGTTCGATGACGTCATTCTTTGACAACAAATTGGTTGACGACGGGGAATCAGAAATTTTTATAGTAGATTTGTTTTATCCAGATACAGAGCCAGCTTGTTGGCAGGAAAACATTTTTTGTACGGAAGAGAACTATTTTTACTAGAAATTATGACACTTGGCATTATTAGCAAATATTTTGGATTCTGATATGGTATTTATCACTGGAAGAAGGTCATTTACATATATTATGATGGGTAAGGGCCCTACAATTGACCCTAAGGGCAATTCCATGCTTTACTGTCCCCCAGTTTGAGAAAAATTATTAGTGTTATTAAGTTATTTCATTTCAACCTTTTCTTTTCTGTCTATTAGATAGGATCTGAACCGATTTGTTCCTTGAATGCCATAAAAATGTAATTTAGTTTAAAAAAGTCATAATTTCCAGTCAAAAGCTTTTGCTAAATTACAAAAAAAAATCCAAGCATTTTTTTTAACAGATTTCAATACATTGACTGTTACTTTGAAATCCGCATCTTCGGTGGATAAATCCATCATGAAGCCATACTCTTCCGGGATGAATATGTTGTTAGTATGCATGTGAAGAATTAACTTAGTGCACATAACCTTAAGAGCAGTAGAGAAAGTAGCTGATGGTCACTAATTTTAAAGTTTTTGTTTTCATGAATGATGTGGCAGTCCTCATTGCAAACATGGTGAGATTAGTTTAGGAGTAATGTATTGAATACGTGTTTTTCAATTTAAGTTATTGTCAATTTCTAGGCCAAAAAAGTAAGATGTTTCTAATTCCTCAACAGAGATGGGGTAGCTAGATCAGTTTAGTGGCTTATTACAGACTAGATGACCAGGGTAGACCACACGTTATTCCACTAACATGCATTTTATTATTAAGAGCACTTGAGATTTCATCTGAAAAACTGAAAAGGGCTTTATCAGTTGACTTTTCCTGAATCCAAATTGTTCACTTACAAGGACATTGCTTGAGTTTCTCTCACACGTGAAATATTTTAGATAAAGTTGTTAGTATTAAAATCGGTCTGCAGAGACTTAACTAATGCTGTGGCGTGCACAAATACAAATCATCTGTACGTTAAAGGCACATCTTCCAATCACGTATCATTTCTTAAACTTTGTAAATATATTCCACATCACATATTTGTGCGTGATAACAACAAACAAGATTACTAGAACGTATTAAAAGTACAAAAACTGCAAAACAGTATTAGGTATTAAGGGCTGCAATAATACTGTTATATTGTTGTACGTCTTAAAATAATGTAATAACATTTGGATAGGAATCTGACAGCACTTAGAAGAACATAAACAAATACTGTTACACTCACACCAGAAATGCAGTCATTTATGTTTGGTGGAGGCTCCTTTGGTTTCCCTCTTCCAAATAGACGATTCATCCTTTGGATATACGACTTTAATTACAAACACAAATAACGTATTCTCAAGCAGAAGACACCAGACCTACGGCGACAACATATACAGTTTCCAATACCGTGAATCACTGCATATTCCAGAGACGTAAATTACGTACTAAGCACCTGATGTTTCCAAAGGGTATAATCCGTGTTCCACAGAGAACACAACACAGATCTCAGTTACACAAAATTGGAATTATTCCTTACTTTTCTGCTGGTCGCATCAAAAATGCTTTTAGGAAGTATAGTTTTCGTAGTTCAATCAGTGAAGTGATTAACTACGGACTGGATGACTGGGGTTCGATCCCCGACAGACCGATATAAGTTTTTGGTTGGTTGGCTGCTTTGTAATTAGTTTCATGTGGTCAATAAGGAAGTTGGTATTTCACACGAATCCGAGTTTGTTTATATATTTTTAAATGATCGTGAATATCATTTCTGAAATGGTTCCTTACAATGATTGGTAGTATTTTGACATAGGAAGGTTTTAGAAATCGTTTATATTTGTTCCAGATGTAGAAATGTTGCTTCGCTCCAGAGGGTTGATGAAAACAGTTCAGAATATGAATAAAACAAATCTTGGTCTATTGCATACTAAAACGTTGGCAGTGGAACATGATTATGTGAATCATAGGTTCTACATAAAGCTGGGCAATGGTATGAAAGTTTCGCGGTAGTAAAAATGTAACAAAATTAACTAAAATAGCGACTTGCATGAATGAGGCTTCCCTGCTTTTGCTAACAAATTAACAAAAT